AAAAAAAAACAAATGTTACCAACTAAGTGTGTCCACACTTTTCATGTCTTTGATCGTGCTCAACCATCATTTCCCTTTTCACTGCGGGATCGTAGGATATGAAACTAGCCAAAGAAAGTTATCATTATGATGAAATCGAGAAGTGATGGTGAGAAAGATGGCAATTTGAGGAGGGATTAGAAGGGAGGAGCGATGATGAAAGATTTATTTTAGGTGAAGGTAGATGAAGTGATGAATGGTCGGACGTAGAGTGTGTGTGTGTGTGTGTGTGTGTGTATATAGTCGGACGTAGAGTGTATATGTATGTGTGTGTGTGTCTATATATATATATATATATATATAATTTTTTTTTTTTTTTTTTGCGAGCATCCAAGAAAACTTTCCTATTATATGTGTTTATCGGTTATTTTATGATAGAGTAATTGATTCAATTTTCAGACTAATCTTTTAACTAGGTCCGAACAAAAAAAAATTGAAAAATCAATCAAATCGAATTGACTCAAGTCGATTTGACACAGATAATTGTTTTATTTGGTTTTTTTGAACAAAATCATGGTAGGTCAATTAAGCCATAGTTTGACGCTTGAACCTGCTGGTTAACCGAATCGACCCAACCCACTTACATGTTTACCTACTTTTTTTTAAGAAAAATAAAAATCAAAAGATAAACCATAATCTTATAACTATATCTCAACTCCCTCCAATCTATAATATTGTCAGTAAATAATAACACTGGTAGTTTCTTTTCATAATTTCATTATGTTATACTTAGCCTTTTTTCCCTACTTAAACAGTCATGCTATATAATGCATAAAAAATAACAAAATTCCTAAGTTTTCTGTTGTTCCGTGTCTAGTAGTCTAATTCTATTTGTTAGTCAATAGTTATTGTGATATAAAATTATTTAATTATTTTAGTTCTTGTAATATAAGTGGAATAAAAATCGAGACATTAAAAAAAATATCAATTTGGGCTAAAAGTTCAAACCGACTTTGGTTTGGTTCGATAAGCAGTTAGAATGGATTGATTTGGGTTGAAATTCACCAAACCAATTAATTTGATTTTGATTTTTAGTTGGAGTCGAAACTGATCCAAACGAAACCTCGTCAAGGTCTATTTTCAACTATTGGATTTACCTTAGCTAAAATATTGTTGTTGGGCTATGAATTCATGGGATTGGAGTTTTCATTCACTTCCCACTCACATAAAGAATATTTATTTTTTTTAGATCATCATCAAATATTGTTATTGGTTATTAAGGTTATTAAAATCTACATTTTAATTTAAATCAAAGTCAACAATTAATTTTAATCATGAAATAATTCATGGAACTTATAATTTTTCAACAATAAATTTTATCAATTTTTATCAAAATTTACTAAAATTTTAATTTTAATTTTAATCCACTTCAAACAGGGACTTACCAATATTTTTGAAAAGCTTAATTGATTGATTTTGAAGAAACGCGGAGTGCCTTTACTTATTACGCGTATTTGAATGGGCTGGGAATAAGAGTTTATCCCCACATTCCACCTCTCATAAACGTGTTTTACCATAAGATGATGGTTGTAAAGCGGGCCGGTTTACTTCTTGAACCTTGCTTGAGGTAGGTACTCACAACATGGGTGGGGTGGCGTGGGGTGGCGTGGCGTGGTGTGCTTGGGATTTTTGCATTTTTTATACAGGTGGATCCTACATAGGACCTGTCAACTGTGAGGGCCTGTAGGGGTTCTATTACATTGAGTAAAATCCTTCTTTTAAAATATGTAACTAGTCTATTTTTGGGACACGTGGGTCACATGTATTGCGCCAACAACAAATCTTTGCCTCCATCACTCATCCATGTGTCGGTTTGATGTTCATTAATTTATTTTATAATTTGTTACAGAATAATTTTTAATCATAAATTTTTATAATAAAATATTCTACTCATGTACCAAAATTTTTCCTACTTATAAATCACATTCTATAAAAAATACTTTTCAAAACTCAATTTTTTCCCCCTAGTTAATGAGAATCAAACATGCTCTTAATTCTTACATGATCAAAAGTTGACAACAAAATAGATTTATTTTTTATTTTTTTTTTGGATAATTGTCAATGTCACGCAATTCTATTACCATATCAAGTAATTGGTTTTACGGAGATTTAAGGATCCAATCGCCCGACCAGTAGAACCGAGTTTTTTTTTCTATCCCACAAAAACGATCTGGATGGATTTGGTCGATTTTTTGGATATTTTTTCTACCTTTCGGTGCCAGCTTGTCCTAATCCTCAAATTACTTTTCAGAATTTTTTTATAAGAAATATCTCTTTTGAGGCGCTAATAAGGAAATAAGGGAAATTGCAATCTTTAGAATTATAACTTTATGGTCAAAGAATTTGCATGGGAAAGAGGGAGGAAATCAGAATATTTTGATTCCACTTTTTTAAAAATACATTTTTCTCTTTTTTTTTTCAACCACACATTTTTTAATAAAATAATATTATACGTAAATTTAAATTTTTTTTTAATTACACATTCTCCATCAAAATAATATTTCAAAATGCATTATTTTCAAAAAAGAAAATGGGGCTCAAACATGCTCATCCACTATACATTTGAATCGTAGAATGAGTGTCACCTGAACTTTTATCAATTCTCATCTCATTACAAAAATTGTTGTAGGCAGTTTTTAAAACCAATTTGATACATTTTCACAATTATTAAAACAAAACTCCTTTTTTCTCAAATTTATTTTCAACCACACTCGTAATAAAATATTATACATATAAACCCAATTTTTTTCTACAGTAAATTCTCCAAAAAATCACTATTCTAAAACTCATTTTTCCAAAAAAATTCATTTTAATAGTTGTCAAACAAGTGCATGCATGGCAAATTTTGTTGCTTATGGGCATATATGAAATTATTTTTCATGAATTTTTTTTTACCACACCACTTTACATAGTTTCACGTTCATCTCTCTTCGATGATATAGAAGGTTACTTTGTACAACCTATATTTGTCATGATTTTAATTTCGTTAAATCCTTTTTTTTTTTTTTTTTCATCTGTGCATTTTTGTTATGTTTATGTTGTTCAAAGGGAAGAGCCTTTATAAATGTTAACATGGAATTATGTAACATAAGGGTTAATTTCACAAACGGTCACTGAACTTATAGAAAAATTACAAAATGGTCACTGAAGTTTAAAACTTTCAGTAACGGTCACTTAAGTATTGAAATGCTTTCAAAAATGGTCACTGAATTTAAAAAAATTTGAGCTGCTTTTGCGACAATTTTTCGACCACTTCCGACCACCGATACCACCGGATTTTGATACCGTTGGAAAGCCTACAATGTCCTCTTCAATTACAATAAAAATTCTCCCCCAAACTCCAACGGATTCGGCCGGAATAAACCCACAACATTGGCTACCCGAAAAGGCAAAAGTCTGGGATGCCAACTTTGTGAATTTATTCCGGTCGAATCCTTTGAAGTTTTTGGGAGATTTTGAATACTAATTAAAGAGGACATTGTGAGCTTTCCAATGGTATCAAAATTTGGCTATTAGATTTTCAGATTTTTTGGGGCGACTTTTGCGGTGATTTTCAAATTGAATTCCTTGGTGTTGCCGAGAGATTTTGAGTAGTAATTGAAGAGGATGTTGTGGGCTTTCCAACGGTATCAAAATTCGATATTATCTGTGGTTGGAAGTAGCCAAAAAATTGCCGCAAATGTAACAAAAAAATTTTAAAAAGTGTTTTTTAATTTCAGTGACCGTTTCAGAAACTTTTTAAATTTCAGTGACCGTTTTTGAAAGCGTTCCAATACTTAAGTGACCATTACTAAAAGTTTTAAAGTTCAGGAACCGTTTTGTAATTTTTCTGTAAGTTCAGTGACCGTTTGTGAAATTAACCCACTGACATGATAACTAAATTCATATATTATTGTCAAATCGAACAAATATATAATAGTCATATCGATTATGCATGATATGTATTGAACTTAATTTTTTTTCTTATTTTATATTATTTGGTTGTTATAACGACCCAAATTTTATAATTTAACTCGCTATCAAACAGGATGTATTCCAAATACATATTAAAAAAAAATTATTTCACCAATTAAACATATTATAGTTTTATATTTAAAACCCAATTAAACATATTTAAAATTTCTAAATAAAAATTCTTATGAATTAAACTAAGAAATTGCTTAAATAAAAAATATTTTATTACGCCAGATTATTTTTATTGTGCCCCACAGGTCTTGGCACTCCGACAACACCACGTTGCCCGCCAACCAACGATCTGTTCCAGCCTGTGAAGAGTAGGGGGAAAAAAGGTGAATATATGAGAATATTCAATAGGACATGAAATTTATGATGCGATCCCGAATAAAATATTTAAATCATGCTTCATAAAAATCATTCCGTCATCATCTCTTTAAAACTGATAAAAGTTTAGTACATATCATATTTCTAGTACCAGATGAGCATATCATAATATTTCACATCATATCATATCTTTAACTTTCATAAGTATAATAATTCAGCGAGATAAAAAAAAAATATTCAAACGAGATAACATAAATTGCACCTCGTAATCCTACCTTGATTGATAAAAGAATTGTTGGAAGATAAGCTAGAATTTCACGTTCCAAACTTTTTTTCTTTTTCTTTTTTTGTTTTGGCTGTGTCGGTAAGCTTTTTTCACCCCATAAAAATATCATCCATTTATATTATATTCTACAGCCACGCATTTGCATATAAGTGACTCATTTCACTAGTTGGTATTTATTCTAAACACGTGCTAGCAATTCATTTGGCAAATTCACCCAATTTCAAACAAAGGATGGCTATCGCATTGGTAGGAAAAGTAATAATTGCCTGGTACTATGCCAAGAAAATTGTGCAACATATTTTATATAATAAGTCATTCAAACATCAAATCAGTACCATCTAAGAAAATTCAATAATGCTACATGTAAAAAGTAACTTGACAAAATAAACTTACAAAGTGACGTGTACGGACGAGATTAAAAGGCAATGGACGGCTGAGATATTGGCAATAATCTTGACCCATTTACTGACCCATTCAGGAATTCAAACACCATTTTCCTCCCATTAACTGTCCCAGAAATTGAGAGAGGCGAAAATTCTCAAATTAGGGCGGCAAAAAACGAAGCGGGATTGCGACTGATTCTCATGTTGCTTGTTTTGTCGATGAATCCGACATTGAATGTGATTGCTCCTCCAGTCCATCTTCTCCATCTACGAAATCGGGTACGGTGTTAATTTTTTGTTGGAATTTTGTTGTTTAATTTGAGCTGAAATTTTAGCCTCAGCTCCGATGGTCTGTACGCTTCTGGCGTCGTCCCATCTCCAAATCAAAAGTGAAAAGATAAAATAAAAATACCCACCGAAGCTATACACACAGCTTCCTGTATGTATTTTGGTTTTGTGAAAGAGAAAGAGAAAGAGAGAGCTAAGCTCGACAGCTTCAACTTTCTCTCTCGAAATCAGCTCAATTTTGTAGTTTTTACAGGTAATTTTTTAATTTTCTGTTCTTTTTTTTTTTTTTTTTTTTTTTTAAAAAAAAAAAAAAAAAAAAAAAAAAAAAAAAAAAAAAAAAAAAAAAAAAAAAAAAAAAAAAAAAATTTTTTTTTTTTTTTTTTTGAAATCAGGGCTAACGCTTGTTTTTTCGAAGTGTTATTTGAATTGTTAATTTATGCTATTTTATGTTTTATTTTATATTTTGTTATATTCATCTGTGGTGGGTACTGGAATTGAGATTGACATTTGCTGGGGTTATGAAGTTACGAAATTTAGCTAAAAGATGTGCAATGTTGAAGAAGATGTATAGTGAAAATTTTGGTCTAGAAATTAGAAGAAGCTCTCTGCAATATTTCTGGATCTTTTAGGAGCTGAAACCCCATATAATTATTGGTATTTTTTAAGAATAAGACTGCATGAAGTTATAAATTCAATTTGAAGAAAAGTGGGAGTGGAGGAAATTCAATGGAAGATTGGTCAAAATATGCACATGGTCCTTCCCATTTGGTAGTAATGCAGCGTGACTACACCTCATTGAAATGGATTGTTGCTGCACTTCCTATGCTGTCTAAGGCAGGGGAGGTGGCTACTGAGGATGAGTCATTGGCTGCTTAACAGAATGCTGATGCTATGTTTGCAGTGATTGAAAGACGGGATGTTCCAGGCAGAGAAACTCCTTTGCACCTCGCAGTGCACCTTCGTGATGCAACTTCAGCTGAGATTTTGATGAGAGCAGTTGTTGATTGGAGCCATCAGAATGAGAACGGATGGAGTTCTCCCCAAGAGGTAGTTTGTAATCGAGAGGATAACATCGCTATGATCATTGCCTGGCACGACCAGCCTCTTGCTTGGGCCCAATGATATCATAGACTTCCTAGGATTGTGGCATTGGCATCCAGAATTCGTGACTTTTATATGGAGATAACCTTCCACTTTGAGAGCTCAGTTATACCATCTATTAGGAGAATTGCATCGTCAGACACTTATAGAATATGGAAACGGGGTTCTAGTCTCCATGCAGATATGACCCTTGCAGGGTTTGATGGGTTTCGTATTCAATCGTCTAATCAAACATCCTCCATTTGATTAAGCAAAATGACAGATTCAGTAACGCTTTTTGTATGATTTTTTGCATTAATTGTTATCTTTCTGGCCTTGTAAAACTACTATATATAGTTGTAGGTGTCTTCAATTATTGGAGCAATTATCAGTTCAATTATTTCCTACCGTCTTCTATACTTTTTCTCTGTTCAGTTCATCTTCTTTATTTTTTCTCCTTTTAACTTTATTGTTTCTATTTCTTCTCTGCTTAATTCAACCATATCAGCAAACAATGGAAAAAGTAGTAGTGTGCATGCCTTTTGTGAAGCTATGAAATTAGGTTGTGAGGCAAAGGATTATCAGTTCTTATGAAGGTTACGTGAGAGTAGAAATAGCCAGAGCAAACTATAGAAGTTCTCTAAATATATACACACATGTAAATAAACTTGTGGAGGTAGCATCCTGTCCATCTTTGAAAAAACTGTATGACCCGCATGGCTTTCTTATGTATAGGAAATGGAATTAATGTATGTAAATATTAGCAAGTATAAAATGTCTTGTTTTCTCCTTAAAACATTGATATATGTTCTAATACATACAGACTACAAATGCATATTGAATTCACGATCTAAAAACGCACTAGAAGAGTGTCATGACTGTGTTGAAAGTTTTACCTCCATCATAATCCCAAATTTGAAGCTAGTCTTTCCATTTATCAATGGTATGACATTTCTCGGTTCTTTTTAGTCTATATTTGAACTAGCTATAATTGAAAAGCACAAATTCCAATAAATTTGGACGCGTTTAAACAAAACATAACCATCACATTTAACAAACTCCAAACTCTTGTTATTATAATTAAACAAATGTTCAATGAAAGACACAAGGTACATGAAGCAAGTCATTCATTTCAACCAAAATCAACCAACTTACTGCAGTACACTAAAATACCAAATTCAGATTTCCACCTTGCCTCTATTTAACATAATATAACTAGTTCAACATAACCCACTAATCAAGCCGTGTCTGTCCCTTTCATTTTTCCTTTGACATGTGATTTTCCTCGACGGACCATCATATTCACATTCACAGAATTCAAGAGTTCTTCTTCATTATTTACCCGTGAGTAGTGTACTAGAGTTGGGCGATTGCTGGGGATGGGACAACACCGGAAGCGCGGAGACTGTAGGAGTTGAGCATTTGCCAAAAATCCCAAAACATCCAGTTGAAATTCCATACTGGCCATTTCTTGTTGTAAGTACTTGGACCTGAAAGCAGAATTCTCATATGGAAAACATGCTAATGCAAGATCATAACAATTGAAATTGTAGTTAGAATTAATTAAAATGTGATCATCAGCAAATGTGTTATCAAAATGGCCGCTTGGAAAACTATTTCCGAACCAGTCCATTAGCACATTTCCCTTTTGAAAATCCTTTTTCTTGTGCACCATTCCCTCAGGATTAGTCTTCGTTTGAGTTAGTTCATGATCATTTTTTCTCAATTCAGTAACATGATCCTCACTGATCCTTTGTTGCTTATTTGGAATGAATTTTTCTTCTGTTTGATAAATCCTCCACAAAACCCAGTCATCAAGTTGCAAAGAAGGGAAATTTTTTAATTAGGCTGCAGAAATATTGAAAAAAGTTCCTTCTAACTTCTATATCAAAATTCCAAAATTTTCATTATACATCTTCTTCAACATTGCACATCTTTTAGCTAAATTTCGTAACAACATAACCCCAGCAAATGTCAATCTCAATTTCCAGTATCCACCACAGCTGAATATAACAAAAAATAAAATAAAACATAAAATAACAGAGATTAACAATTCGAATAACACTTCGGAAAAACAAGTGTTAATCCTGATTTCTTAAACAACAAAAAAAGAAGAGAAAATTAAAAAAATTACCAGTAAAAACTACAAAATTGAGCTGATTGGGAGGGAGAGAGAGTCGAAGCTGTCGAGCTTAGATCTCTTCTTTCTCTTTCTCAAAACCAATATACATATAGGAAGTTGCATGTATAGCTCCGGTGGGTATTTTTATTTTATCTTTTCACTTTTGATTTGGAGATGGGATGACGTTGGAAGCGCAGAGACCGTCGGAGCTGAGGCTAAAATTTTAGCTCAAATAAAACAACAAAATTCCAACAAAAAATTCACACCATACTCGATTTCGTAGCTGGAGAAGATGGACTGGAGGAGCAATCATGTTCAATGTCAGATTCGTCGATGAAACAAGCAACGTGAGAATCAGTCGCAATCCCGCTTCATTTTTTGCCACCCTAATTTGAGAATTTTCGCCTCTCAATTTTTGGGATAGTAAATGGGAGGAAAATGGTGTTTGAATTTTTGAATGGGTCAGTAGATAGGTCAAGATTATTGCCAACATCTCAGCCGTCCATTGCCTTTTAATCTCCTCCGTACACGTCATTTTGTAAGCCAACTTTGTCAATCTACTTTGTACATGTAACATGAGCATAACTTATTCGAAATAATAATTTCTCGAGCTTAATATACATGATTAATTATGAGCTATCTAACAAGTCCAATATTGATATACTATTACTTATACTTGCTCTATGAAAATTTAATTATTTGACTCAAATAGAAATATGAATTTAAAAACTATTTCATTTTAGTTCTCAATTTTTTAAAATATAACATATAAAATAAATGCATTTTTATTCTAAATTTTTTTGGGCGTTACAATCTCGCTACCTTAAATATTTTCATCATCGAAGATTACCCTAACAAATCGAAAAGTTTCGAATACTTGATTTTAAGATCATCTTCCTTCTCTCATGTTGACTCGTCTAGTCCATGATTTCGCCATTGCACCTTAACCGGGAAAACTTCTCTGTTCCTGAGTTGATGCACTTTTCTGTCCAAAATAATCATTAGGATTTCTTCGTATGACAGGTCCTTTTGTACTTTCAAAGTTCGATAACTTACGACATGATTGGGATCGTGAACATATTTTTTAAGCATTGAGATATGAAACACATTATGCACTACGGGTAGTTCAAGTGATAAGACAAGTCGATAAACCACACTACCAATCCTTTCAAGAATTTCAAAAGGTCCAATGAACTATGGTCTCAACTTCCTTTTCTTTCCAAACCTCAGCACTCCGGCCGAATCCTTTAAAGTTATGGGGAGATTTTTGGTAGTAATTGAAGAGAACATTGTGGGCTTTTCAACAATATCCAAATCCAACGGTCTTGGTGGTTAGAAATTGCCGAATAATTGATGCAAAACTCTCCCAAAAATCTGAAAATTCTAAGCAGATTTTCAAAATTTGGGGAGCTGACTTTGTGGGCTTATTCCGATTGAATCCTGTGGAATTATGGGGAGATTTTAGGTGATAAATGCAGATAACATTGAGGGTTTTCTAATGGTATCCAAATTTGACAGTTTTGGTGGTCGAAAGTTGTCAAAAAATTATCGCAACCCAAAAATTTGAAAATTTTGGGTGACCATTTCTACAAGTTTGTAAACTTCAATGACCGTTTCTTAAAACCCCTGTAAATTTCAGTGACTATTTCTGCAAGTATTAAACATCAGTGACCGTTTTGTAATTTTCAGGTAAGTTTAGTGACCATTTGTGAAATAATTTTTCCCAAGACGGGCGCATTATAAAATTACACGATCATTTTTCATGATGAGTCAAAAAATGATATTGATATTTTGGTCAAGCTTTATGTTGGTTGGTGGAGTTTGGAATGAGTGTTGAAATCAAGGTGTAAAGTATGGTAATGCGTAATGGATTATAATCAAAATGTTGATTTGTCTTTTAGCACTCATTCGAAGTCCAAGTGTTGAACTAGTAGTATTACGTAAAGGCGTCAACCAGCCGAACCAGCTCGCGAGCCAAAATTTTCGGCTTGAGCTCAGCTTAAACTTTTTTAAGGCGGGCTTCTTTTGCCCAAGCCGAGCAAAAGGTTGGCCAAAAAAATAAGGCTCAACCCGAGCTTTCGGCTCAGGCCTTACCTAGTTGAGCCGAACTGAGCCCGACCAAGCTCAATTTTTTAGAATTTTAAAAACAATCTATAAAAATTGCTACTTGTTGGCAACATTTTAGCTGTCCGTTATGGCTGCCAAACAGGCAGCATTATATGCTGCCTTAACTAGTTAAGGCAGCGAATTTTTACTCAGGATTTTTTTTATGGGCCGGCCCGGCTCGAACCAACTCCCCAAAATGGCACTTGCTCGGTGCCTTCGAGCCTTGAGCCTTGAGTCGGCTCAGGCTTTTTCTAGGCCGAGCCACGGGTTGCCAGAGTCACCCAGCCCGATTGCTATCCCTAGTATTGCGTATGATGATTAAAAGGCGTAACTCGTAAGGCATAACAATACGTGAAGATCAAGTTTTGAGAGCCTGTTTGACAATTATTATTATAGAAAAATGATTTTTGAATAGTGATTTTTAAGAAAATGAGTTATTAGAAAATAAAGAAAAGTTTTTGATATACGTGTAAAATATTTATTGTGTAAATGTGTGGTTGAAAATTATCCTATAGCAAACCATAAAATAAAATAATGTGTGTCAAACAGGCATATTATGAACTTAGAATATGTCTTTTTCTATTTTTAATCTTATTTTAATTATTGTAGATTAATAAATAAATAAATAGAATAATGCACATAATTAAATTTTCTAGGAATTTCATGCATATTTTTCAAGTTTTTAACGAAAGCGTAGTTTTCAAAATCATATAATCTTCAAATTGATAATGCTTTCTTCGCGAGCAAAAAAACTTGTAAGCTGAATTTGAACTTTTTGTTGAGTTTATTTTCTTTCTGGGGCTTACACAATGGTTGAACATTTTGTTGATTAAACTTCGCAATAAGAAAATACTTGGGCGGAGTTAGGGGGTTGTTTCAGGCCCTTTTAATTTTTTTAATTATTATTATTATTTTTTTTTTTTTGGGTCCAAGTGTTGAATTATGATTAAAATTAAATACTAATTAAAATAAGAAATGACGGAATTAATGAAATGCACATTTTTCAAAAAGTGACGACTAAAAGGTTCAGCTCTTGTTTGAGCCCCATTTTTTCAAGAATGCATTTTTTTTTTTAAATTTAATTTTAACAGTACATTCTTCAATAAAATAAATATACATGTATTTCAAAAAAATTCTTATTATTTAACCACACATTTTTTAAAAAATCACTATTCATAATGTATTTTATCCTAAAAATAGGAATCAAATAGGGGCTAAAAATTTAAAAAGAAATACAAAAAGAGCAATAATTGTATTAGGTACAGCAACACGTGAAATTTGTTGGCGAAGACAAGTACGTAAAAGTACTTTAGGCCTTTAGAGCATCTTTATTGAATCAATGACGGTGTAAAATTTAAATTTAAATTTTCAAAATGATCGAAAACTTCTTCAATGAATAACTTTAAATTGCATTTTTGGACAAAAAATGTATGTGTGTGTGTGTGTATATAGCCCTTGTTTGTTATAGATTAAAATCAGATTTTTAGTAGATTTTGATAAAAGTTGATGAAATATGTGGTTGAAAAGTTGTGGAGCCGGTAAAATGTGTGGATAAAATTAATTATTGACTTTAACTTGAGATTAAAATCAACTTTAATCCGAAACAAACAGGGGAAACCTTCACTATTTTCTCACTTTCATACGCTAATATGCCCCATGTCATAATGAGCATATACTGCTCTGAATTCGCCCAGAATTGCGTTTAATCTAATGATTTCTTGCCATATTAAGGAGATCTGAAAATCTGGCGAAGCTTTACTGGTGGCCTATATCATTGCTTGTTATTATTGGTGTGTGATTTACTTATAATTCGTCCAAAGTGTACACTGTTATTCTTAATCAACAGCAGCAGTCGGATCAAAGATCATGTTTTAGATATCCATAGGATACTGAAACTTTTTTAAAAGTTCAAATCCTAATTGACGAATGTAAACATTTTTGTTGTTTTTTCACCCTTATAGGGATGGACTTATGGGTTGGATGGAGCACTTTTGAAAGCAACAAGACTAACTGGAATCAAGAACTTCAAAGTGAATGTATGCAACAACCTCGTCTATTTCATTGCTTTTCATATTCTGCAGTTTTCATATGGGTTGGTAATTGTGGATTTTTAATGTGATCGTATGAAAGGCAAGAAATGGGACTTGTTCCCATTAGAGTTGCCACTTGGGGGCCATTTGTATTACTTAATTTTGAAGGAGGTTTGCCTAAGGAAGATTTTGATACCAATGTCGTGGGAAATGAATGGCTGGGTACTTCAGCAGAACTACTGAGTGCAAATGGTGTTGATACTTCACTGGATTATGTTTGTCGACGTGAATAGACAATTGAATGTAACTGGAAGGTTTGACCTTCATCATATTCTTCGTCAAACTAGTCCATATCCTAAAGAAAGATTGGGCTCCTCTAATTTTCATTCAATAAATCTTGTTATCAATTTTAACTGGTAAAAAGATAGGTTTCTCTACTTCTATATCCGATGGTACAAAACTAAAATTTATGATCATGGATCAATCAATCCAGGTATTCTGCGACAACTACTTAGATGGAGGTTATCATGTGCCATATGCACATAAAGGTCTTGCATCTGGTCTCAATCTAGAGTCATATTCTACCAAGGTGTGCCCGCTTATTAAACTAACTTTCCCTGCATTTTGAATACTTTTTCTTCATTTTTGCTTGGAAATGTATTTACATTATTTTGTGGTGCTACCAGAAGTCATAGCTTATTGGCATGTTTGGTAAGAAAAACTGGGAGCATCGTAAAATATTAAGGAAGAAAAATAATGTCCAGTGTCTTATCATACACTATATGTTCATGCATCCATGCTTCCACATATATGATTCAAATTGGTTTTTTCAATTTGTGTACTGTTAAACTTTCTTTTATATATGTAACTCTGTTCTTGAAATTGTGAAGATGTATGGGAAAGTTAGCATCTGAAGTTGTGATGGCATTGCGGTGACTAGTGAGATCGACTTGGTTCAAATGCTTTATATGCTTTTGTCCATCCAAATGTCATGATTAATAGGTCAGTGATCGTTGCTTAAATGTATCAATTATTTGTTTGTATGTTGTCTTATTCGATATATTGTTTCATAGCGTCCTTATTTTCTCTAGTTTTTCTCTATACCTTAGGTATGGACCATGGATGGATACCAACCTCATAGTCCCATTGGGACCACAGAAATGGCAAGTGATATTCGATTATTTTCTTGATCCTTCTCTTATTCCACATAGATTTCATGGTGCCCAGATTAAAATGATCCCAAGAAATATAAATATCCAAGCATTAGTAATATCCCACAATCATATCTAGAACTTTTATAGCATGATAAAAAGATCCTTTCGTCTCCAGGTTGGATGTATCGATTACAAAATATGTGAATTATGCAAATAGGAAAGATGTGTTATGGTGTTTATTTTTAACTACTCTCGAGGTTTTTTTATGATCTTGGCATGGAATAAATAGTCCAGGTTCTCTTTAAAAAAGAAGAGTTTATGTACACTCCTCCATGGAAGCAGTCATCTTCCTTTTACCCCATTCATTTATTATCATTTGCCTAACGTGAATCAGATTGTACAACTGTTACAAAGATGAACTATAAGCACTGTCGAAAATTTCAAGAAAATCCCAAATGGGCTAAAATGTAGGGTCGTCCAAATTTAATATTCATTGTAATGCCCCAAATCCACTACAGATTTTTTTTTTCTTTTAAAAGATTTGAAGTGTTACCAAAATCTTTCTTTTATAGTTTAAGCGGAATTTAACACTAATGTTTAAATTTGGGTATTAAATCAATAAGGTGAATTCAACAATTCAAAATAATAATTTGAAGTTTATCTAGCTTAAATTACTACGAACTAAAATGCCAATTGAACATGTTAAATATCAAATCTACTAAAATAACATGCATGGAATTGAACATAAAATAAAAATTTATTCTTGAAATAGATATTGGCAAATAATCCTATAACATAAAAAACATAAATGTGTCATTCAAATGAGATTTCTTCGTAAAATATTATTTCTAGAAATTTTACTTGACGACCCCATGAGCATTACTCGATCAATCCGTCATGCGTCCACACGAATATGAAAATTTAGTAAGAGTGAATAGAAAAACGTGCATATTCTTATTAACATAATATAAATATAAAACGACATAGTATACCGACATTTCTTAGATTTAGAACAAACTGATCGCGACATTTAATAGTCAATCTCGTAAGATTTAACATAAAAATCAACCCAAAGGCCATAACGTATTTCATGCCAAAATTCTATAAAAATATAAAGAATAAGAATTAATCACTTGCACATTTCTTACCTTGATTTGATACTAAATAAATCTGAAAATATTTTGTGAAAGAAGATAATATCCCCTTTTGAAAATTGTGTGTGTTTACCTGTATATGTAATGAGAACAAAAAAAATACTTCTCACGCCTTTTTATACATAATTTTCACTTAGAATATCAATCATCACACTCCACACGTTAGGCTTGAGGATTAAGGGGTTGTTTGACCCCTATTTTCTTTAAAAATGTATTTTCAAATAGTGTTATGATGAAAAATGTGTGGCTAAAAAATAAGAAAAAATTTTGGGTTTACGTTTAATATTATTTTATTGAAAAATGTGTGGTTGAAATGATCTCAAATCACTGTTGAAAAATGTACTTTGATAAAAAAAAATGGGATCAAAAAATGGGACAGTTGGGCAGATCAATTGATTATATTAATTATAAAAAAAGTGGTTGATGATTCAAATTTCAACGCCTTCATCTTTTATTTTTACTATTTTATATATAAAATTATTATTATTATTATTATTATTATTATTATTATTATTATTATTATTATTATTATTATTATTATTAATAAAATATAGGATTTAGAATATCTTTCTTCTAATCAAGATAACTTGAATATGACTAGTCCAAAATTATTTCTTTTTGAGCCAATTTATGTTATTTAGTACGAGTTACAAAATGAGTATAATATCGATATATTTTTTTTATTGACTTTTGAAATACTTAATTATTTGACCCAAAATAACTCATGATAAATTTTACACGTAAACAACATAGATCATTTATGCAAATAAGCGAGTCACTTGTATCACTTCAACTTTTTGGGAACTTAGTGTGACGACATGGCTTGACATATACTATTTTATTTGCTAAATGCCTAACATTAGATTTAGCTCATAGGAATTAAAATTTAAAATCCGGAGTGTAACATTCCTTCTATAGACATTATCTTTTCCTGTTGTGTTTTATACATATACATGTGACAAATGACTGTGCAGAGTATAATTTGTGAAAATATCAATCGTATGACATATATTTAGCTTTGCTCTCTAGTGAATTCACAAATATGTAACGTTTATTCTCAGGATAACGGTGATTTTATTGAAAAGAGTTTGAAGGACAGTGAGAAAGTGCAGGTCAGACATCTTTTCGTTGACAATCAGTGCTTGCATATTTCGCGCTTAATGTGTTTACAAAACCTATGTGCAAATGAAAGACATAATTTTAAGTGAAGCTGTTCAGCGAGGCCTTGAGTCTCCGGCATACAACATTGGCCGATACAGTCCAAATGTCGAGATAGCTATGCATCATTTTCATTGTCTGCTTTATGAAAATCTCATCAGTTGATTTTGATAGTGAAGATGGGACATTAAGAAAACTCTGCTCCTTTGTAAGAAAACTAAACATGTTCAAGGGAGAAGGAAAAAGCAGAGGGAATCAGTCCACTCTGGCTCGTCTTTTCTTTGTCCTCACTACAATTTACGATCCAAATGAAGCCTTTAAGCGTGGATTAAACTTTTCAAATGATTCGTTCATGTGTAGCAGACATGCCTATTGATTTTATTATGTGCAATTGAAGAGCTTTTGATTTTACCATTATTAATTTTTTTATAGAGCTTAACCATGGTTTTATAGTAACCTGGGCCTTAGTTGAAATGGTGATCACAACTACAGTAACTAACCGTAATTCAAATGAAAAGTGAAACTGAATCAACCGAAGTTCAGTGGCATAAGGAGCACAGAATACACCATCCCAAATGGTTGTAAGTGCACGCTAAAGTCTGCAAATGTTAGCGAATGTTAGTCTTCCGTATGGTTGGCGATAATAAAATCATACCAACGATCATTGACAAAACAGCACAAAACGCATTCAACATACATAAATCAATCAATTCCAGTAGGCAATGGCATGGTTCGGATTGGGTTGGTTTTGAATCCAATCCAAAACCAAAACTGAGTTTTGGATAAATTCCAACCCAAACCGACCAAGCCGATATGGACATTGGTCCAAGTTAAAAAAAGGGGAAAAAAGTAACATATAAGGTGTTATGTTTACCTCAATTCAAAAATCAAATAAATAGTTTGAAAATTCAAAAATCAGGTATGCATTTAATTAATTAAAAATATTTATTAAATAAAGATAATAAACTCACAGTTACATGATTAATTGTCATAGATTCATAATTATAGATCACAATTTTATTTATTGGTCACATATCGTTGAATTAATTGATCACAGATTATTTCGCGGTCACAAATCAAAAATTTTGTAGGTCACATATTATTTTGAGATCACAGATCATTTAAATTACAGGTTACATTTTGTCTATGGGTCACATAGATCACAATTTATTGGTCACAAATTATTTTTTAGTCACAGACATCTAATATTTGGTCACATATGCCTAAATAGATGGACACAAAGCCTAATTGTTAGTCACAAACACCCCATTCGTCTCCATCATCGCCACAGTGCATCACCGTCGACTACCACACCATCACCTGTACAGCACCACAGCCACCAACTCACTTAGCCACATTGCCACACTACACCACACCGCCACCACACCATACAATACCACCAAATCAAACTCGCCAAACTACACCACATCGCTCACAATGAGCGCTGCACCGCTGCAGCGAAAAAACCCAAACATTGACCTTACAGGTACCGCAATCTGAAGTTGTGATTACAGCGATCGTCGTCGCATTGTCATCAGCATTGCAGAGACGAGATCTGAAACTATTATGGCGCCATCATCTGCAGCGGTTGAGTACAAGTAACTTCATCGTGGCATCCCCGCCCAAAAAATCCCTAAAGCGACAGCTACACACACTAAAAAAATCACCATCGTTACAGCACCAGAGCTCACGTCGCGAGCAGCGCCGCCCAAAATTGGCATCACCATGGCTGCGGGGCTCAAATTGTCGTGACGATCTGGAAGCGCCGCTCATATCAGGTCTGGCCAGCGTGCTGCATTGCACAAAACAAATGTCTCACAGAAGATGGCTACTGTCACTATATGTGCTTAGAGAGAGAAGAGAGAGACGGGAAATGAGTTTGAAATTAGGGTTTGAAGTTGGTCGTTGTATTTATTAATACCTGATTTGAGCATAAATAAATTTCACCCCGAATTTTGAATTTGAAAGTTTAAGTACCTAATTTTATGTAATTTCCACTTAAAAAAATTTGTCATCTATTTTGGGTTAAACAATTTTGTTTGCCTATTTATATAGACCTTGTTTGAGCCCCATCTTTTTAAAAAAAAAAATACATTCTTAAATACTATTTTGACATTATTTCAATTACACATTCTTTAATAAAATAATACATGTAAATCCAAAATTTTTATTTATTTTTAACCACACATTTCCTATCAATACACTATTCAAAAATTCTTTCTTATAAAAGAAATGAGACTCAAACAAGGGTATATTTTATTTGTTTATTTTTCGTGTAGTGCACATTAATAATATAAATGATAAACAGTTGATTTTCCTAAAGTTATCCTATATACACAACAGTTGTCAATAAAAAATTATACTAAAATGAAAAGTAAGGCTACAATCTGAATTTGGAGTTTACAACAATCAATTTTTCTTCTCCTTGTGTTTTTTTTTTTTTTTTTTTAATGGAATTTAGAGTTTTGATAGAAGTGGAGTAGACAGTAATCCAATTATTTGAGAAGCAATTATATATGTTTTTATTATTATATTTTTAAGTTTAAAAATTATGATTTTTAAAATGAAAAAATAAAAGTAAAAATAAAAATAAATGAATAAAATTGGTTGGTTAATTGATAGGTTGATTGCTTAAGCCGCAACCAAATCAGCACGATTTTTTCATGGTTAAAATTAACCAAACCAACCCGACTCAGTTTAATTTGATCGGTTTTTTGATTTTTTTGCCCACCTAAATTACAGAGGCAAAAATCTATATCGGTACTTACATAAAAAAGAATTTCTTCTGTGTATTTTCACCACTGAAAATGTCCAAGTCGGTTCGATGGAAACTAAATACTTAACCGCAAGGTCAGATTTGAGCTACACTGATATGTATCTATCCAAAAGTTAGCTATACTGCACACACCTACGGAAAACAGATGAGCCCAGAAGCCGTCTTTGTTCACTTCCTTAGTATTTAACCTGGATAACAAAAGAAGACCAAGTCAACTCATAGAGATGAAGAAGATCATATTCCCCTCATATTCAACTCGCAAAAGTTTTCTTTACCTCCTGATTCCCTTTCTTTACGTATTTTCTTCGTAAAAAAATCACTAAAAGGTCTCTCTGGAACAGGAATTAGCTTCCCAACAATGGCTAGAGGCCAGCTGATCAAGAAAAAAGAAAACTAAATTTCATACCAGATCAGAGAATAATATGAGGATATCCACATAGTGATGCAGTTACAGACCCAACAACACATTTTCAGGATTAATACAACCGCCCATGACTTAATGTGAAGAAATAGTATCTCTAATATCTATTAGTAAATAAGTATTAATAAATACGATAGACTATCAATCAACTAAAATAAGATGTAAAGTCGAGAAATACCAGCCATAAGTTGTAAGCTAAAATGCCAGGTAATGAGAAACAAACCTGATTATACCGATGACAATGGAAACAAGCCACAATTTCCAACTGAGTCTAACTGTTGAAGTAAACTTCCCAAGAAAAAATATAATGATGACCTGAACAGAAGAGTAGATTTATAAATTGCAAGAAAATTTGGGCATCTCGTACCAGAAAGAGCGAGATATCAGAAATAACCTGGAGAACTACTGTAAGTCCAACTATTCCCATGAAAAGACGGTTTTTAGTTACCCCTTTCCACACATTGATCTCATCAGGCTTTCTAGCATTCAACTCATTGAATATCTGTAATTATAAACAAAAGAAATTAGTTGAAGCACGTGGAAAACAGCAGTTTAAAAATTGGCAAATTGAAGATAAAAGTTCAGAGCAGCTTCAGGAAAATGATTTCAACTAGATTAATATTTAAACTTCAAAAAAGAACACAAGTCATCACAAATTTTTGCATATTCGATCCCATCACAGACATCACACAGATTCATGTTCTTCAATATTTTGTAGAGAAATATCAGCATAACAGACATGTGAGACAGAGAATCCTCCACCCTTCACTTGCAGGTGAAGTATAACAAAATCAAATGATCATTGTTGTAAAAGCAGACTGAGTATTCCAATTAAAAAAACTGCGGCATACTAGAACAGAGAGAGAGAGAGAGAGAGTGTGTGTGTGTGTGTTCAAAAGCATTGCAGATATCTACACTTCGCTCTATGTATCAAAAAATTAACACTTTGGCGTCCCAATGCACTTGCCTGACAAAGGACAAATGCATTGAATATCAGTGTATTCTTCACTTTGAAAGCTCGATCATCTGATTCATCCTCTAAATTCAGAATGCTTCTTCCCCGGAAATTCAGGATTAGGAGAACAGTCACTTGATATAGAGCCTGCAATCACTCAACTGCCAACAATTAGAACATGGATATTTAATGAAGTATTTTAGTTTCCATCCAAAAATAAAAAACTCAATAATATAGTTAACACAAAAGTTTGATACCTGAATTATCAAGTTCCTCCACATGACATTAGTAATGAGAGGTTCCCTAAAATATAGACATTAATGTTAGATCAGTAAATAATTTCAATATCAGAAAGTGCATAACAGAATTTAATTATACGGACAAAAAATAAAAGGCCATCTCTACACCATGGTGCTTTCACTCTTAAGGTGGAGCCTAGTACAAGGGAATGGGGAAGTAATGAGTGACGCAGTCAGAAAACAAGAAAAGCCACAGCCATGACAATCAAGCAATAAAGCAAGATCAAATTTCAAACAGAACACTTTTTCTGTTATTTATTAAATCAAACGTCCCACCCTACATCTAAATGACAAAGAACATGAAATAATAAAACCCAACTATAAGTCCTGACAGGATGAGGAAAGCAAATCCAACATTTTTAATTGAATAAGGAAACATAATAACTAGGAGATTGGACAGAATAAGTAAAATACTTATAGCAGAATAAGGAAATAAACTAAAGCAGTAGACATTGAGCTTTTCTTGGCCAAGAAGCAAGGCTCGGCCAAGAGGCATCAAGAGACGCTATGATGTAGGACAAATCATATTGTAAATAGGATAAAAGTTAGATAATTATAATAAGATGTCTAGGTGTAATAAGTTCATCTTCTTATTCTTATTTCATGTTTAGAATATGATTTCTAATTTTTTTTGGATGATGATTTATTTTAATTCCCTTATATTAGTTTTCAAGTATTAGTTTAAGTAAGGAATAATTTTGCCTTTATAAAGGGATTGTACACTTTTCAACAATAATCAATTATTATTCAATATATACATGACATGATTGTTAAATTATCATTTTTATTTATTATATAATTCTTATTACAAGAATTTCATAACGCTTCTGCACCAAAATTGGTATCAAAGCAAGGGAATTGCCTTAATTTGACGGCTGACAATGGTCTCGAAGGTAGTTGAACCGTACACGACAAACGGAGGCTTGACAAACTTGAACAACAAATCGACGGGATCGACAAAACCCTTCACAACATCACACAAATACTTACTGCGTTGCGTCTTGAAAGGAATCGCAAGCTCATGGAGAAGCAAGCTGACAAGAATTTGTAGATTTTAACTGCTATTGATGTTAGTTGTTTCAATAAGCATAGAACATGGCAACATGCGGCTAGAGAGTTTTCTTGAGTCCCAACCAAGTTCGAAAACACATAAGTTATCAAGGATTCTTTTCTTCAACAAAACACACGAGTCCCAACCTAGTTTTTTGGGAGAGATTGATGTAGGATAATCCTATTATAAATAGGATAAAAGTTAGATAATTATAATAAGATGCCTATTTGTAATAGGTTTATCCTTTTACTCTTATTTCTTGTTTAGGATAAGATTTCTAATTTCTTTAAGATTGAAATTTTTTTTAGCTCCCTTATATTAGTTTTCAAGTATTAGTGGAAGTGGGGAATAATTTTGTCTATATTTATTGAGGCAATGTACACTTTTCAACAACAATCAATTATTATTCAATGTATATATGACATGATTGTTCAAATATCATTTTTATGTATTACATAATTCTTCTTACAAGAATTTCATAATGCTTCTGCACCATGCTTTTAGGTCCCTCCTCCGCCTAGTGCATCCTCATCTAGCCTAGAATTATTTGCATCAAAGAGTGTCGACATTCCTGGTTTCATTTGAGATACCATAGTCGGTATAATCAATATTTTCAAAATTATAACAAACTAAAATCCCGTAAAAATATTTAATCGTTTCAAGATTCTCAACTATTAATATTTTTGTCTATTTTGTTATCTCAATTTTCTATTGATATTAGAAGTGGGACCTAATAGAAAACAACAAATTAATCGCAATATTTTTGTCTATTTTGTTATCTCAATTTTCTATTGATATTAGAAGTGGGACCTAATAGAAAACAAAAAATTAATCGCAATCAAGTTTATTAAGTGAATGTTATATCTATATACAAAATGGAAAAAATATATTATGTCAAATTTTGTTATAAATTTATATATAATTATTTTATTTATTATTAGCGGTTCAACCCCGGTTCAACCTCGATTCGACCTTTCGACCCTTGACCCTTTATCTTTTCCGGGTCTATGGCCGGGTCGGTTTTCAAAACATTGGGTATAATAGATTCTTGAAAGAAAACGTTTCCATGTGAACCCCCATTTCTGAAATATGGATTTCTGAAATTCCGGTGCATTCTGTAAAAATTATCTCTCCTTTGGATCAGGGGAGGAGGGAAAAAAATGCAGTTCATCACTCACCTAACTGATACCGTATTTTTGCCTTGATCACATATAAAACAAACTTCAGACCAAAAGTGACTCGTATATTAAAAGTCTAACCTTCTACCCACAGGAGGCCTACGCATCAGATGATCAGTAGGAGGTTCAGTTGCTAGTGCTAGGGCCCCTAGTGTATCCATTATAAGATTTACCCAGAGAAGCTGCTCAGAAGACAAAATAGTTATAAAGTTAGTTTTGAACCTAAATAAGACTTATGATTGAGAAGTCGTGCCTATAAAGAAAAACAGCAGACAGACAAATACTCGATCTCAAAACATGGGGAGAGAGAGATATCACAAACCTGCACTGCACTTAATGGGACATTACCAGAAGAAACTGCAGCCACAACATTGATTATAAGAGCTGCAACATTAACAGTGAGCTGAAATTGTATAAATTTCTGAATATTGGCATAAACAGATCTACCCCATCGCACCACCTACACAATTAATATAAAAATATAATCAGCAATCTCAACTTTAGTAATAACATTTTCCATTTGGAGACACTTCGACAAGACAGTAAAAAAGGAAAGCTATGCAACTATGCCTCAAAAAATAATTGATTTACAACAAGAGCAATCTGAACTACTGTTTTAATAATTTGATTCGGAGATGCATTCAATAGACAGTCCCAACAAATATCTACGGCTCCAAAGGTAGTTCTGATAGAAATTTGAATTATGTCCAAATAACAGAAGAAACCTATAAAACACCTTAAAAAGCCAAAAAAATCATTTAAAAATTCTCTCATGAAGTTCTGTTATAACCCTAGCTCAAAAGATTGCATGCTATGATCAAAGAATCCTAAAATGATGCAAATCCAGAAAACCATAGCTGGTTAAGTTACAAAAATATAAGCCTCGTTCAGGTTGAAACATTAAATTTTGACATTATTTTATGCCAAGTTACAAAATATAAGTCGAGGTTCCTGGATCTTACGGGGTGAGTCTGTGGGGGTACATCAGATGAGGGTGGAGCGATTTCCAGGATAGATTGACTTTTGTGGTTGAAAATGGTAATACTATTAAATTTTGGGATGATTGATGGTGTGAAGAGAAATCGCTTACGGTGAAGTTTCCCTCTTTGCTTCGTACTGTCGTCTACTAAGGTGAGTGAGGCCTTAAATATACACAACAGAAGTCTCAGTTGGAACATTATTTTTGGGCGGGGATTGTAAGATTGGGAAGTGTATGATTATGTGTCACTTCTAGCATTTTTGTATGAGGTGCACATTAGGGTAGAAGAGAGGGATTATAGCAGGTGGAGATTGACACATGATGGTATCTTCTCAGTCGGGGCTTATTTTAGATTTTTATTAGGACGTGGAGAGTTCATTCCCTTGGAAAATGGTATGAAAATATAAGTTGCCTCCAAGGGTAGCATTTTTATTATGGATGATTGTCAAAGGCCGGGTGTTAACGGAGGATAATCTCCAAACAAGGGGTTTTTATATTACAGAGTAGTGCCATATGTGTAAAAGGGATGCAGAGACAATTGATCACTTTTTCCTTCATTGTGATGCTGCTCGTTTGCTATGGAAAGATGTTCTGGCGTCTCAACACATGAAATGAGTGTTTCCACGACGTGTGGAAGACGTGTTAAGGGCTTGGAGGAGAAAGTTTCGCAATAAGAATAACAAGCTTGTATGGGACATGATTCCAGGTTGCATCGTACGGTGTGTGTGGAGAGAGGAATAGCCGCTACTGTGATAATCAAACACGGACAAAATAGCAGATTAGAGAATTGTTTTATTGGACATTGTATAGTCGGTTTAACGCTACAACTCCTAGGTATATAGACGGGTTACCCAATTTCATGTTGTTTCTTTCAGATTTAAATTGATAATATATTTCCTGTGTATTATCTATTGATTAATAAAATACTATTCAAAAAAATAAAAATAAAAATTATGAAGGATAGACGAAATGAATAACCCCCTTATTTTCATGCTGAACATGCATTGAGTAATTACTAAATCCAAAATATCAAATAGCATCAAGGTGACGGTTCTGGTAATACCCACTATCACATATTCTACTAATAGCATGCTTTTCATTTATTTTGAAGCAGCGAGGTGACTGTTCTAGTAATATGCGCTGTCATATATTCTCCTATTTTGAAGCAACATTCATAAGATGGGAAAACTAGTTTTATGCAATTCCAAGAGCTAAATTAAGACATTTTTTATACAGTACATTAACATGCTTACGACATAGACTCACCTTCACTACTGAAGCAAAATTATCATCCAATATAATGATGTCTGAGCTCTCTTTGGCAACTTCTGTTCCTTGGATACCCATTGCAAGACCAATATCAGCCTACACCGCAATACAATTACGAACGAGATTATATGAACCGGGGGAAAAACAACACAAAACAACAATTCTTTGGAACACCTCATTATACTATACACACTAATAAATATTCGTTAATGGCATTCATGAATCCACAGGATTTAAAAATCATATTGAAAACACCTGTTCCAAATCCCAATCCAGC